GAAGAGCGGCTTTGTCCTAAGGCTTGGGAAGACGGTTCTACTACACTCTGGTCCGACTCACAGGACGGACTCCTTGGCATTCAGAGAAGGTGGCAAGGCAGGAGTCTCGCAGGTGGAGAAACTGAGGCCAGAAAGCAGAGGGGCTTGTTGGGGATCTCATAGTCACAGTGGGGTCTGCCGGCTCTCTGACCCTTCCCCAAATCTCACAGACCCCGAGCAGGGACAGCAAACCTCTCTGCCTGAGGAAATGGTCTGCTAAGGTCGGAAGACCGGGGTTACTTCAAACAGAGCTAATTTAAAATGTGATAAACCGGGCCCAGGGGCGGCACGGTGGTAAAACACAGCATTCCACGAGGCTGACCCAGGTGGGAAGGTTCTGGGCTCGGGAGTCCAGAGACCTCCTTGAGGACAAGAGGCACATGTGACTGGGGCTGGCTGAGGCTGGGGGTGGTTCGTAGTGTCAAGACCTGTTGAGGGCGCTGTCTCTTTTACTTATGAAATAAACAAATATTTAAATTTAAAGAATGTGATAAATTAGGGCCAACAGGTGGTGTGAAAGCAAAGGCAGCCAGACCCCACATGGCTGACACTGCAGTCTACGTCCCAGACCTGGTGGCTTGAAAACCATGTTGGACCTGTGTGTGTACCCCAAATCTCAAGAGAAGAATGGAGGAAAAAGGATTGCTGCATGGCCATCCCCCTGGGGGATGATTTCTCACTTTCCCTCTCTTTCTGTTTCTCTCTGTCTTGTGCTAAACTCTTTTTTTTTAAAGTGATAATTTTTACAAAGAATTACTTACTCTATTTTTTTTTTTCTCTTTTGGGGAGAGGTTTTTGCTATAGGGCGCGTGCGCTCACCAGACAGACAAAGAGAGACAGAGAGATAGAAAGCGAGAAATCACCCCCAGGGGGGATGGCCACACCTCAATCTCTTCTCCTCCATTCTCCTCTCGGGATCATGGGCACGCACACACATGTGCCCAGCGTGAGTTTTAAGCCATCGGGTCCAGGATGCGAACCGCGGTCGACTACATGGGAGTCCAGCGACATAACCATTACACTAACTGCTGGTCCCTTTATTTCTTATTATTGTTATTTTTCAATTCGCTCTAGGATATGTGCACTCACCATAGAGAGACAGTGAGAGAGAGAGAGAAAAAAAAAAGTGAAAAAGCAAGCTGCCAGGTCCAGGAATTGAACCACAGTCAGCCATGTGGAAGTCCAGCACCTTAATCACCATGCCATCCACTGGTCTCTTAGTTTAATTATTTTTCTTATTTATAAACCATGTGTGCTGGGGACCAGCAGTAGGCATAATGGCTATGTTGCTGGACTCCCATGTAGTTGACTACGGTTTGAGTTCCAGACCTGGCGGCTTAAACTCACGCTGTGTGCATGTGCATGCCCATGCCCAAGATCCCGAGAGGAGAATGGAGGAGAAGGGATTGTGGCATGGCCATCCCCCCAGGGGATGATTTCTCACTTTCTGTCTCTCTGTTCCTCTCTGTCTTTCTGGTGAGTGCACATGCCCTATAGCAAAAACCTCTCTAAACAAAACAAAACAAAACCAGAGAGAGTTTTTTTGGTTGTTGTTGTTCAACAGAGAGAGACAGAGAGACACAGAGAAAGGAAGAGGTGGAAAGTACTCCTCAGTGGGGTGTGGTCATGCTGAAGTCCTTCCTTTCCATTTCTCCATCCTGTTGGGATCTTGTCACATGTATACACATGTCTTATGTGTTTTCAAGTTGCTGGGGCCAGGACTCAAACTGTAGTTGGTACTGTGGGGCTTGAACCACTGGCCAGTGGGGCTCGCCTAATTTTATTTCTTGAATTGCTAAAACATATATAGGACAGAAGAATTCAAGCAGGACAGAATGGCAAAGGGTGACAACTAAGTCTCCATCCCACTCCTGTCACTGGAGCTCTTCCTGACCCAGTTACTACTACTTATTTCTTTCATATCCTTGCAGGGATAGTTCATGTGTATACAATCTTCTATGCTTACATGCCAGGTTGTTAAAATGGGACTCCCTGACTCAGCTTCATCTGGGGTCCCCAAGCTGCCAGTCTCACCAGAGGGGCTTAAGATTGGCCACTAGGAGAGCTTGGATGTGGCCTGTGGAGTTGAGGGAGGGCTGGTGCCTGCTAGCCACAGGGGAAGAGTCTCAAAGTGAGATACAACAGGGTGAATGCGAAGACAGGTGAGGAGAAGAGAGTAGAGGGCGGGAGGAGAGAGGAGGGAAGGGAAAGGGTGGGAGAGAAGGAAGAGTGAAAGGGAGAGAAAAGGAGAGATGTGAGGTGCATTTGGAGCCCACTGTGCTTCTACCGGTCACAAGGCTATTGACATGTTAGTGTTTCCTGGCCACCATGGGGCCGAGGGCTGGCCTACATAGACTGCCCAGAGGCACAGGGGAACCTAAAGACATGTGGACTGCCAAATTCCTGGAGACTGAAGGGGGAAATTAAGCAGCTAACTAAAGGAAAATATACCCAAATATCCAAGTTGGTGTCTCCAGAGACCTCACAAAAGCACTCCTGAGCAGTCCAGAGAACACCAGCTTTAAAATCAGTTGTGACCAGAGAAAGCCAGTGCCAGATGACCTTGGTGGCAGTCATGTATCTCCTCTGCCCTTGCCCTTCTCCGCTCTTCATCCTCATTCACTGTGAATGTTCTGAGCAGGGCCAGCAGACGGCATCGTGGTTGAAGCCACATGGCCGACCATGGTTTTAGTCCAAGACATGGCAACTTGCTTTATCTCACTTTCCCTCTCCCTCTATCTCTTTCTGGTAAGCTGCCATGTGCCCTACAGCAAATAAAAAAATTAAATAAAAAAAAATATATTTTAGAGAGATTTTTGTTATAGGGTGTTGCTTGCCAGAGAGACAAAAAGTGAGACATCACCTCCCAGGGGCCAGGTCACACCACAATTCCTTCTCTTCTATTCTGTCTTGGGATTTTGGGCACACACACACATGTGCCTGGTGTGCGTTTCAAGTCACCAGGTCCATGACTCAAACCACGGTTGGCTATGTGGGAGTCCAGTAACATAACTATTATGCCATCTGCTGGTCCCCAAAATAAATAATAATTCTTTGTTTTGGAGAGGTTTTCGCTACAGGGCGTGTGCGCTCGCCAGACAGACAGAGACAGAGAGACAGAAAGCGAGAAATCACCCCCCAGGGGGGATGGCCACACCGCAGTCCCTTCTCCTCCATTCTCCTCTTGGGATCTTGGGCACGCATGCACACGTGCCTAGTGTGAGTTTTAAGCCACCGGGTCCGGGATGCAAACCGTGGTCGACTACGTGGGAGTCCAGCGACATAGCCATTATGCTAACTGCTGGTCCCAATAAATAATAATTCTAAGAAAGAAGAAGTATGTTTTGACCAATGGGCATTTTTGTCAGTAGCTGCCTGATACCAGTATACCGGGGCATGAAGGAGGCGGGCGTCACCTATAGTAATGCTTGTCTCTGTGACAGGAAAAGCGGGACCTGGAGGCCAGAAGCCACACCTTAGTCCCCACGGTGGAGAGTCACGTCTCTCAATTCCCCAGGCCTCAGCCCATTCATGTGTCTAGTACCACATGGCATGGGTGAAGAGCGTTCTTGACCACTTGAGGACGAAATCTGCAAGAATGCCAACGATTCATTCAGGTACGTGCTGCAGCACTGCTTCGAGCCTTCCCTCACGGCATCTGCAGCCCCTTGCTAAGGTGACTGTGGACTGAGGAAATACACAGTCCTTTTTAAGGCTACTGGACATTGGATTTTAACTCTTGCAAATTCCTGGAGACCTCAAATGCCACTGTAGTCTGCCAGTCAAAGGAAAGATTTATGGTAGGCAGGTGATAGTGGAGTTTGACCAGACTGCATCTCACACGGGGTCCATGGACCTCCACTCTGGGTCCATGGACCTCCACTGTGGTATTCCCCTCTTCCCTGCATGTTTCACTGGGTAGGCATACTCTGCAATTGGCAGAATCATCACATAGGCTCCCTGACTTGTGGCCTGAGAACCATGATGGAATTCCTCTTCCTGTAAGGATAGTTAGCTAAAAAAACACGATTGCATTTTTGGCAGGGGTGTGGGGGGAGGATTTCAGAGACTAGCATCGAAACATCTCGGAAGATGCAGAGGTAGCGATTTCTTTTGCTTACCCATTTCACTTATCTATTTGGTTCATGCAGAAGGTGGCTGGATCTTGGAAAGTTACAATGAATTATAGACCTAAATCAGTTGGTGACTCTAATTGCAGCCAGCGTTCCAGTGGGCTTACCGGAGCAAGTCATTACAGCTCTGGCATCTGGTGTGCAGGTTTTTGATGTGACAAGTCCCAGTGCTTTAACCTGGCAGGTGTGCGCTTGTGTTGTCTCAGGGTTATGGCATCCCTTCGCTATTGGCTGTAAGGCGCAGATGCTCTTTGACTTATAATGAGTAAGAAACCCATTGTGAAGTTGACAAATCGTAAGTGAAATCACCATGAGTCGGGGATGCCTGTAGGCTGTGAATCTCTTTCTCTTTTTGTAAGAGAGATTTTTGCTACAGGGCGTGTGAACTTGCTAGAGAGACAGAAAGCAAGCAATCACCCCTCAGGGAGCATGGCCACACCACAGCCCCTTCTCCTCTGTTCGCTCAGGATTTGGGGCACACACGCACATACATCTGGCATGAGTTTCGAGCCGCTGGGTCTGAGACTCGAACCGCAGTCAGTCATGTAGTAGTCCAGTGATGTAACTATTACGCCACCTGCTGGCCCCTGATCCCGGAAGTCTTAATCATCTTATTGCACAGAACTTCTTATTGTACTTAATCATCTTACTGCACATAGACCCACTATGTTGGTGAAAGCATGCTGATTGGACCTGAGAAGCAGGAGGCAGTTAATATCTTAGAAGCCTTAGTAAGATGCGTAAGAGCCAGAGGGTGGGAGATAAGCTCCATGAAAATTCTTTGAAGTTTTGGGAGCCCTGTGGTCTGGAGAATATGAGGATATTCTCTCCAAACTTCAAGAAATGCTGCATCTCGCCCTGCTTACTGTGAAAGAGGCACAGTGCGTGGGGGCCTCTTAGATTTGGGAGGTGGATGTGGCACTCCCACATCTGGGGGTGCGACTCTGAAGGCTGGCGGTTTCACAGGGGGCCGAGAGCAAGCGCAGACTCTGCTGTGGGTCAGGCCGCAGCACAGGCTGTCCTGACCCTGAACGTGATGACCCAGCTGAGCACGTGGCCCTTGAGGTGCCCTTGGTCAAGAAGAATGTCCTGTGGAGACTCTAATAAGCTCTAATCACAGCAGAGACCCTTAGTGTTTGGAAGAAATACCACACATTCTTACGCATATAACCGTTCTCCTTTTGAGAAGCCGTTCCTGGCTTCCCACGGGCCTGTTAGACAAATGCCTGACATCAAGTGACCAGGCAACCTGAGCTACCCACCCTGCATGGCTGTTCTTTGTCCCACCAGCTCTGACGTTGGGCTTGCACAGAGCAATCCATCAGGTGGGAATGGTCTGGGAGAGTGGGAGAGCGCAAGTCCATTACGTGAAATGGCTCAGACCCTTTCAAGTCTATTCATGCTGCTTTGCCTCCTTTCCCTCAATCCACGCCAATGGCCAGATGGGGAATTTTTTTATAACTAGTTGGCTGATGGGAAAAAATCGGACCTAGTTTACAAATGATTTTGCAGGTTATGCTGGTGAATTCTAGAAGAGTGCTATAGCACTCTTAGTAAGGAAGGTCTCTCTGGAAGACAGTAGTGGAGAGAAATCCTACGGAAGACAGGATTTCAACACCTACCCATGGTCGCCCACTTTTTCTGGACTCAGAAGTGGTGGGACCAGCAGATGGCATAATGGTTATGTTGCTGGACTCCCACGTAGTTGACTGTGGTTTGAGTCCCATACCTGGCAGCTTAAACTCATGTCAGGCGCATGTGCGTGCGTGCCCAAGATCCCTGAGAGGAGAGTGGAGGAGAAGGAATTAAAGCGTGGCCATCCCCCTAGGGGGGTGATTTTTTGCTTTCTGTCTCTCTGTCTCTCTGTCTTTCAGGTGATCGCAGGTGCCCTAGAGCAAAAACCCCTTTCAAAAAATAAATAAATAAATAAATAAATAAAGTGGTCAGAGTATGGATCTATTCTGTTGGGTCGTTGGAAAAGCCATGACCTGTTTTTCTTTGTTTCATGGGCAATGGCTAGTGGTCTGGCTGGATGGTCAGAGGTTTGGAAAGAAGAGGCTGGGAATATTGGTGAAGTTCTGGGGAAGAGATCTCGGGAAGGGCATAAGTGTGAGGGAATATGTGTTCCTTGTCAACGCTCACTAAAGTCCGGCTACCGCAAAAGAGGCTTTCAATAATCAGAGACAGGATGGCATGCTTTATAAAGATGGCCAGCCTCCTTTCCCAGTGACCTCAATGCTTGCTTGGCTGGCCCATAAACAAAGTCCCATGGTAAAAGGGATAGAGACTACACATGGACCCCAAACCTGGGCTCGTCTTCTCCAAGGCTGGTCTGCTCATCAGCACCACTACTGAGCAACAGGGACCAATGTCTCCATATATCACCATTGCCTGGAATAGTTGACCCTTCACCACGGAGGGGTCGGAGTTTTTTCTCCCTGAATTAGACAGGTATTCTGGACATGGATTTGTCCACCCGGCTCTCAGTGCTTCTGCCAGCACCACCATGCATGGACTTATGGAATGCCTTCTCACGATAATGGTACTCATGTGCCGTTGCTGCTGACCAGGGAATTCATTTCATTGTCCAAGAGGCAGAGGAATAGGCTTATGCCCATGGAATTCACGGGTCTGCCAATGTACCAGATGACTCAGAAGCAGCCGGCCTGGTTGTTAGGTTGGACCTTGTGAAATTGCCAATATTCAATTGTTTTTGACTTGGAAAATGAGCAATTTTACTGGTTTAGCGCAAAATAACAGTGGAATCGTCTGTAGAAGATTCGTGTGTAGTGCTGACTGGGCGGCAATGTCCTGGAAGATTGGGGTTACCTCACAGGATGTGGTACGTGCTTTGAATCAAGGATGGATGTGGTGCTGTTTCTGCTATAGCCAGAACACGGGGATCTGGGAACCAAGGGTGACAGAGGGAGTAGCTGCCTTCATTATTGTACCAAATAACCTCAGACAGATTTGCTTCCTGCTCTTGCAACTTTGAGTCACCTAGTTGGGAAGTTTTTGTTTCCAATGGAGAAACCAGGCAACACAATAATCACACTATGGAATTGGAAGTTGGGACTGCCACCTAGTCACTGTGGACTCCTCATGACACGAGGCCAACAGGCAAGGAAGGGGCCATCAAACTGGTTGGACAATTGATCTTGATGACCAACAAATCCATCGAATTGGTTTTCTGTCCTTTGGAACTAAAGTATACAGGAGGAGCTCAATAACGACTGAATTGTTAATTGAGTGTCTCTTTCCTCTCTTCAGTTTGCTCCATGTTTGGGCCACAGAATAGCATGAATAATTCACATGTTTTTCTATGGATGGGAGCTTTCTTTCTGACCTGGTTCTTGAGCACACCTGGAAATATCATCTGGGGGAGAAGAGACGGGAGTGTATCTCTGGGGAGCACCTAGGGAATGGCACTGAACTTTTAGTTGGCTTTTAAAAATTTTATTTTATTTTGTTTTATTATTTTATTTTATTTTATAATCTGTTACTTAATTAGGTTCTTGGCAAGAAACTTAGAACACCGATTCGGGAGGATAAACTCCATTTGAAAGGGCAAATACGGATGGCAGGTAGCCTTGGAGCTGAGGAACAGCTTTGATTTCTGGTAAAATCTGTGAGTCCACAGATTTCTGCTCAGCCTTGCGCTGCTCTGTAATCTCTGATTTCTCCTTCTCTGTGTCAAAGATCTCACCTTCGTGGTGTCTGGGCTGCCACAGCTTCTTTTTCTTCTTTTTCATCATGAGGTCTCTGGGGATTTTTTCTTTGCTAATGTCAATTTTTGTGGAGGTGGCGATGACAGATTTCTGGTGTGTTCTACACAGTGGAGCTCGATGGAGGACCAGAGGTCTAGTCACAAGTAGCAGCCACTGCCCAGCTTACCTGGCAGCTTAAACTCATGTCAGGCGCATGTGCGTGCGTGCCCAAGATCCCTGAGAGGAGAGTGGAGGAGAAGGAATTAAAGCGTGGCCATCCCCCTAGGGGGGTGATTTTTTGCTTTCTGTCTCTCTGTCTCTCTGTCTTTCAGGTGATCGCAGGTGCCCTAGAGCAAAAACCCCTTTCAAAAAATAAATAAATAAATAAATAAATAAAGTGGTCAGAGTATGGATCTATTCTGTTGGGTCGTTGGAAAAGCCATGACCTGTTTTTCTTTGTTTCATGGGCAATGGCTAGTGGTCTGGCTGGATGGTCAGAGGTTTGGAAAGAAGAGGCTGGGAATATTGGTGAAGTTCTGGGGAAGAGATCTCGGGAAGGGCATAAGTGTGAGGGAATATGTGTTCCTTGTCAACGCTCACTAAAGTCCGGCTACCGCAAAAGAGGCTTTCAATAATCAGAGACAGGATGGCATGCTTTATAAAGATGGCCAGCCTCCTTTCCCAGTGACCTCAATGCTTGCTTGGCTGGCCCATAAACAAAGTCCCATGGTAAAAGGGATAGAGACTACACATGGACCCCAAACCTGGGCTCGTCTT